TGACATTTGGTTTCATCCAGTGCTGTAACAAATGAATGGTTTGTTATTTTAAGACATATTAGCGCCCATCAAAAGGTATGAATCATTAATTTCTATTATAATTATGAGTTTTGTGCGGCACATAAAAACCATAATTAATTAATTATCGATTTTTATATTCACTGAATGTATGGCTAATGTGTTTCGAAATGAGTCTCAAATGACTGCATCTATAAATGAATTAATCAATTGATTTCATAATTTTATTTCGTATGCCGTATATTAGGGAGTGTGTGTCAGACAGACTATTACCCGGGTAATTATAGCACCAAAAGATCGGATTTTTAAAATAAAGCAATACAATCGTAAAGTCGATAATGTCTTTGCACTTCGAGATGTCTGTCCAATGGATGTCCACCGAGTCTGACGTAGACTCCACTCCAACGCTACTGAAGCGACCGCTGGATGAGGAGATAAATGACGGGCCGATCCGGAAGTGTCTAAAACTGGGCGATCAATGTTTGGACAATGACTTCGACACTACATGTATTGATAGGCAAACAATTTTGGCAAACATTAGCCACACTTTGAGACAATTTGTTTGCGTCAGACGGGAAGCGCTCGAGTTTTCATTTATACCATCACTCGATGACATACTAATCAGACATTTAAACACCAATACGCTATCACTAGTAACTGCTGAGATACCGGCGCCCAATAACTATCGCCAAACAATCGTCAATTGGATGTCCATTCATAGGATCAAATGGGCTCAAGAGTTAGCACTCGTGGACACAATGGCCGGTCGACTCGCGTTCATCGACTGTTTGGCCAAACTGTCGAAGAATGTGTTCGATGTCTGCGATTCAATCGCTTCCAATCGCGCGACACACCCAGCGCTGAAACAACTCAAACAAAACAGACAATTAGTGACAGTCACTGATAATGAAGATTTTGTGGACAAACTTATGCGCGAATTTGACTCACTTTTAATGAATTGGTACGAATGGACACAATCTGTACACCATCTCATTTAAACGCAACATTGGTCTCATTCATCAAACATTATGTTTATCAACAATTTTTTTATACGATTACAAAAATATATTCAATTATAAGACTCGGTATTCAAATTATTATCAATAAATATGAAGTGATAAATTAAAGTTAACATTGATTTCATTTTAAAATACTTATATAAATTAAAGTTAATAATAAAAAGATTCATTAGACTTAAACAGTACAATGAAATTGATGTCCAAAAAACAGGTAGAGATCACATGGCATGAACACATGATTTACAAAATTATTATTTCATTTAAAATTAAATTAACTAATGATTAATAGGTCTAATGATAAATACACACAAAATATAAATAAACTGTTAATTTAAAAAATCTCCAAAAGTTTATATTTGTTATATTAAAACCCGTGTCCTATTCAGTCGCATATCTCACAGCACATTGAGTTCAGTCTTAATATTGGCCACCAATTGATTGTCAAACAGTAGACTCGTGTC